CATGTCTAACTTCTTTGTTCCCAAACCCTGTAAAACTGTAATCTCGCTCACAGAGGGGAAGTCAGATCTGAGTTTATTTCCTGGCTTCTTGCACAGCCTCCTGCAAAAACACCTTTTCTCTCTCCTCAAAATCAGTATCCAGCAGTTTTAGCTCTCAACTGTGCCTGGGGCCTAGGTCCCACTAGGGCTAGTTACAGCATCACATGTGGATTCCACCTGCCAAGCAGCCCTCACATGAAGTAGATGTGAGCAACTTGTCTAGTCCTATGAAGAAGGGACAGGTAACTTCTTGGCTAGGTAGCTCCTAAGAAGCATAGCTGTTAATAGACAACTTAAAGGTGACTTGCAAATCTAAGAAAAATGAATTACAAAATCTGCGATTTTAAAGTCACTTTAAAAAAAAAAAAAAAAATAAAAATAAAGTCACTTTTTAACACTTTAAAAGCTTGCTTGTTTGATTTTTCCCCCACTTTATTTTATGCTAGCAAACCATAGGTCAAAATGGGCAATGTAACTATTTTTAGAGTACAACTCACTGATACTACTTCAATCACGTTGCACAATCATTGCCACTATTCAATTGCAGAAGTTTTTCATCATCCTCACAGAAACTCGGTCCCCCTGGAAGCAACAACTGCCCACTCCCTTCTGCTCAGAGCCCCTCCCTCCAAAAACAAAACTCACTGCCATCGAGTTGATTCAGACACACAGCGACACTATAAGGCGGAGTAGAACTTGTCCTCTTCCAAGATTATCGATATTTACAGGGGCAGACAGCCTCCACCTTTCTCTTCCGGAGCAACTGGTGGGTTTGAACCTTGGACCTTGCGGTTAGCAAGCCCATGTGTAGTCCACTAGACCTTTAGCACTTCTTCCCTAGCCCCTGATAACCAGTAGCAAGCTTTTGTCTGGATGATTTACCCAAATAAGTGGAGTAATATTTGTTCTTTGGTATGTGACATTTTTCCCCCCTAACATAAATGTTTTCAAAGTTTGTGTGTTCGCATGTATTAGAACCTCCTTTCACTTGATGGCTGATTAATATCCCACTGTATGGCTATATGCTACACTTAGTTTATCCAAGAACAAGGGACGCATGCTAAGTCCTGGGTTTGCTGAAGACTGGCTTACAGTGAGAGTTTTACTGTATATCCATTTTCAGTCTTGACATAAGCTAGCTTCCATTGAGTTCTTTTTGCCCATTAACCCCAGTGTATAAAGCTTTGCTCTCAGGCAGAGTATGTTTAAAAGCAGATTAAAGGTCCTTTAGCCCATTCTGGGAGGGGTAGTCTTGCCCTCAGGACCCGTCTGGTTCTGCTCTTAATGGAAATTGGGGTACCACGGTGGCATGGTCAGGAGTTCTACTCCAACCAAGGTGGCTGGAGGGCCCCAGAAGCAATCTCTTCTAATCTACATCAGTGACCATGTCCCAGTCACAGGCCTTTCCTGCTTCTGCAGAAGCAGTGAGAAAGTATCTGCTGTCAATCCTAATTTTGAGCTGATTTTCCTTGTTTCCATGTTTTATAATTTGCCACGTGGCCATGAATTCTTTGGCTACCATTAAGGCTTCATGCTGACGGTTGGTCTTATTTGGATGATTTGTCTGTGTCTTGTCTTTCTCCTGCATAAGACTTATTGAAGAGATCTGTACTGAATATATTTTAATATGGGGTCACTTCCGCCCTAGAACAACAATCATCGGTTGGATACTTGAGTTGCTCCCGTATTTTGGCTTTTGTAAATAATGCTGCAGTGAACACACGGTGCATGTACCTCATCTGAGTCTCAAGTACATACACCAGGATTCTCAGTGGGTTAGCACATGAGGCCTAGAAATCTCCCATGTCGTGATCTAACACAATATAATCACTTCCATATAGATTGTCTGAAAGCAGCCAACCAGTTATAAGAAGATTAGGGTGGGAGGCAAAAATCCTTAACTCAGCCTTGATGCAATCAATTGAAAGGCAGTTTCCTCACAGGTATGCCCTACTTCCAAAATAAGTAGACACTGGAAAAGCTTGCTTGTTTTCTGCTGAATCAGGATCCTGCCCCTGGCATTTGAGGCAGCAGCCTGCCACACTGCCTGGTAACCCGAGGAGTCGTTATCATCCTGCCACCTGTCAACTCTGGATTCATTTGCCTGTGCAGCCAGAATCACGACATCTAACTCACTGCAGTTAGAGGGGTCAAAAGAAGCGTCCTGCCTGACATCTGACCCACACAAAGACGTAGAACTTGTCAGCCTCTGCAGCTGTGTGAGCCATTCTTTTGATATAAGTCTCTCTCTCTTTCTCTCTTGACACACAAACACTTACACACACCCCACTGGTTCTGCTTTCGAGAGAACCAACCCTAGGGCAATCCGTAAGAGGTTGAATAGCTGGGGTATAGGTAGCTCTATGTGTTACTTTTTGAGGAATCACTAAACTGATTTACAAGGCAGCTGTACCATTACATTCCTCCAGGAATGCACAAAGTTCACGCTTTCTCCACCCTACCCACCCCACCCCACATTTGTTCTTTTCCATTTTCCTGACAATACCCAGCCTAGTGAGATGTCTGTCTTATTTTTGAGAGAGAACATATTACATTTGATAGGTTCTCTGCAAGAACATGGAATATTGGTCAGCTAGACTGCATCAGATATAAATAAAAAGAAACACAAAACTTGATTCTTCCAATATTCAAAATGGGAATGATGCTAACAGTGTATTTGTGGGACGGAGAACTAGGCTTGGCCTCTAGACTCTGGTTTCTGAAAAGAGCCCTAGCAATCAATAGGCTTTTGTTTTATAAAATATCCAGGCAACACTTAAAAACACATGCTAATGAGCAGGGAGTACCCAACTCATCACCTTGGCAACCAGCCTCAGGAAAGGAGGGGCATGACTGCCCAGTCCACCCTCTGAGGCTTGATGTGTCACTCTAGCATGTCAGGTGGGCTTTGGGGTTTAAAAGTGGCAGAGGGAGGAAACTTCAAGGTCCCCTCAGCTATGGTACTAGTGACCAGCATAGGTTCAGTCCACCTAACCAAGTCCATCAGACCTGATGGAGGGTTACAGTAGACAGTAAGCCCCTTTTTGAGTCCCTCACTGATGCTGCCAGATGGAGACCTGCATGGAAGAGTCCTCTATCTCCAGCAGAACAGCAGGGCAGGCAGGAGGTGGCCTGTCCTACAACTGTCACTTTCAGGTCCTTCTTCTATGCCACAAAATGGTGTGCCTGGTTTTCCGTGTCCATGCAGGCAGCTCATAGCCAGCGGGACTGCTCACTATTGTACTCTGTCTACTTTTTTGTAAAAACTCAAAGTTACTTTCCAGGTGCTAATGTGTGTCCCAGGAACCCTGGTGGCTTAGTAGTTACATGTTGGGCTGTGATCCCCATGGTTGGCTGTTCAAAACCACCAGCAGCTTCAAGGGAGAAAAGCGAGGTTATCTATTCCCATAAACAGTTATAATCTTGGAAACCCACAGGGGGTCATATGAGTCAGCCCTGACTCAATGGCAGCGAGTCTAGTTTGGAATGTGCATCCGGGCACAGAACAGATGGTGTGATGTCCATGGAGGAATCACACATAGCAACTTGTGCCTTACTTCTAAGGGCATCCAGGCTCTTTAGAAACGGGACAAAGACAGGGCTTTCCACTCCCACAAAAAGTTACAGACTTGGAAACTCACAGGGCAGTTCTACTCTGTGCTAAAGGGCTGCTATGAGTTGGCATCAACTCAATGGCAATGGGTTTAGCTTGGAAGGTTTTGTGAGTACTTTACAATTTGGGCAGGGAGCCTCACAGTGTTATGCATATACCATAAACTCTTGGAACTAAAATAACTGAAGAAACTAAAAAGAGTCCACCCACACCACTCTTATCAATATGGTTAGTTACGTTCCAAAGCCTGTTGGTAAATGACAATCAGCGTTATGTAACAATGGAGAGTGATTACATCATTACATCACTGTCAAATAACATCATTAAATAACTGCTTAAGCCCTGGTGGCTTAGGAAGCAGGTCAGCAGTTCAAAACCAGAAGCTACGCCTTGGGAGAAAAGACAAGGCTTTCTACTCTCATAAAGAGTTACAGTCTCGGCAGTTCTACGCTGTCCCATATAGAGTCACTATGAGTCAGGACCAACCCAATGGCAGTATTTTGGTTTTTCAGTTAAACCAATGAGAATGATGGGCCAGTCAGGGTGGCACATAACTTTAGCTTCAGAGCCAGAGTACTCTTCCCTCCCACCTCAGGATTCGTTACTGCTGGACGCACTTCATTTCTGCACTAAACTGTTGGGATAGTAGCCAGCTCACTACTGTCGATGCAGAATGTCAGATAACGAGATAGTCAATAACTGAGGGGTGAGTACACTCAGTCTGCAGATTCAATTATAGAGACTGTGGATGGCTGAATTTATCATCCTGTGTTATAAATCAAAGATCTGTATCTTCAAAATTACCACCAGAGGTAAGATTCTAGGCAGTCTAGGCTTTCTCATCCCAACACATCGATGCCACTGAACTGGCACCCTCTGACACAAGCCCCGCCCGCTTTCCAGTCCTCTGCCTCAGGCCCAGTCAGTGTCCCCTTTACATCAGACAACCGACACATCGTCCTGTAATCTACAGTCAAACAACGACTTCAGGACCAGCGTGCTAACCTGATTGATCATGAAGTTCAGTTAGCTTTGAAAATAATTAGGAAAGAAACAATTTCCCTCAATAGGAAGGCGCGTCGAGGGCACCAAAGGCAAGAAGACCTGGTCACAGGGAAGAGTTAGGGAGTGAGACTTGAGAAAGAGCAGCCACTGGCTCCTGTTGGAGCTCTCAAAGACGACAGGCTCTGCGTAGCGGGCACGTGGCTAAAGGGTGCCTTGGAAACAATGACGCCTTCTAAGTGTCAACTAATTATGGAGTTTTACCAGAGAGTAAACAACAAAGAAAAGAAAAACAGTAAGAAGAAAACAGGAGAAAAAGCAGAATGAATATACTTTGTAAACTTACCGAAAATCAATATCCAATAACAGGCTTTTAATGTTCGACTTCTCATCTGATGCTTTCAACCTGATTAGCTCGTGTAACCTAAAGCCATTAGTGAAAGAAATGTAATGAGAAATTACAAATACCACACAAGCAAACAACATTACTATTTTTCAGATCCTTAAGTGAAATTTCTATGAGAACCGGCACATATAACACAGATCTCCATTCAGCAAATATTTTTTAAGGCCTCTTCCAAAGAGAGGAGTCAAAGATTATAGAATCAAATCAGAAAGCATCTCCGATCTCACTGCAAAATTTGTAACAGTTTCTCTCAAAGGAACTCTGAGGGGCCCCCTCTAAGTAGAGAGAGCGGGCCATACACTATGGTGACCAGATTTAAAGCGGGGCACCATTGACCAGGGGGCAGGGGGTTCTTGATAAAAAATTTGGTCTATATGGACCAAATAGACCATTCCCTAGCTTGTCGTGCATTCTTTCCAAATATCGGGACTTTTTTAAAACATCAAAAATCGGAACTGTCCCGCCAAAAGCGGGACGTTGGTCACTAGACCTTACACATCCAGTGAATTACTCAAGCTTTGTGCTGAGCTCTACATGTGCTGAATAGCTACTCCGTGAACGTTCCCTACAATTTCAATACAGGCATAGTGTGGGTTCTGCTCTAGAGGTAAATGGAGTATTCCGATAAAAGTAAGTATTGCAATAAAGCCAGTTGTACGCATTTTTGCCCATTTCTGAGCACACCTACAAGTGATGTTTATACTCTGCGGTAGTCTACTCAGTGTGCAACAGCATGATGGAAATGTGTGTGATATTTCAACCGTGCAGGCTTGCTTCAAGCCAGGCCTGCCCGGAGCGGAACTAGAGGAAAGCGAGAGAGAAGATGATGGGGCTACCTGGGGGTTCCCACACACAGCACTCTTGTGAACCCGAGCGTGGAGAGCAGGTCCACCAAGAAGCGACAGCTCCTGTCAGCAAACAGATACTGGGCGTGGGTTTTCTTGTTCTGCAGAAGGTACAGGAGTTGACTGGGCCTCTTCAGCTGCGCCACGGAGATCTCTCCCACCACCGGATGCTCCCTGTGTTCGCCCCACTCGCCTGGCAGCAGCAGCTGCTGACATCTTTGGCAAAACTTCCTCTGGGACAGGGGCAACTGGATAAACGTCAGGTACCTTCCAGGAGCGAGAAAACAGGGGGTGATCAAGGATTTTAGGTGTGTTGTATGAAGGACCACGCACTTTTGTTTTTAGTATCCCACAAATATTCTGCTCTAAAAAGGCCTGCATAAGGAAGCCAAAAACAAAACCAAACTCACTACCATCGGGCCGATGCCAACTCGTAACAACCCTCTAAGCCGAGGTAGAGCTGCCCCTGTGGGTTTCCAAGGCTGTAACTCTTTCCTGCAGTAGAAGGCTCATCTTTCTCCAGAGGAGCGGCTGGTGTTTTCGCGGCAGTTTTGAGCCAAGATTTGAAGAAGCCTAAAGAACCCTGGGGAAGCCCTGGTGGCAGTGATTACGGGTTGGGTTATGAGCCACAAGCTTTGTAGTTCGAAACTACCAACCAAACTTTGGAAGAGAGACGGGCTTTCTGTTCCTGTAAACAGTTGGTCTCAGAAACTCACAGCGGCAGTTCTACCTGCTCTAGGGTCACTGAGTCAGCACTGACTTAGAGGTAATGAGTGTGGCTTTTTGGTTTCTTTGTTTGTTTGCTTTTTTAAGAGGCATAGCATCTTGGAGATTCCTTCGGCCTCCATAGGTCCCCAAAGTCTAGATTCTTTAAGAATGTGCCATTCTGTTTCCTCTTTCTCTGCCTTTGCACGCAGATTGCTGTGGGAGTCCCTGATCAGAATGAGCAGGATTGCCAGGCACCCTCGAGCTCCTCTGCTCTCACCCGGTCAAGGAGACAATTAGTTCTGAAATCCAGTTCCTTCTCCATCCTTGGGTTCCCACCTTTCTCTTCCATTCCAGACAGAGACCAACAGTCACATCCTAGCTGTGCGCTTGGCCACCCAGAACTACAACTCATTATGCAGGCTGGTGGAACTCACACGCTCACCCCTTATTTTGCACAGAGCACGTTCACACAAATAACACCCACATACACATATAATGTGGGAACGATGAAGTCATCTTTTTTACAGTTCTGGCATAACGCACTCACACTCCATTCACCCTCATTCAATAGTCCAAAAACGTTACCTTGGTTTATATTTACAGAATAAAGATCTATGAAAAGATTGGGAAACCACAGGTGGAGTTTGGTAGCTCTGGCAACCAGACAGTAACTAACTGGCACCGTGTGTTGCCTCTGGGGTGGTTCGTGGGTGGCCCTGCGCGGTGGCTCCTGGAGGCTGATGTATACCTGGGTACTTCACGCCAGAGACATGCCAAGGGTTGGGCTCAGGGTCAAGGTTTCCACAACCTGAGCACAGGCTGGTCCCTTGTGGGGTGGGACCTGCACATGTGTGTGTGGGTGCCCTGGTGCCAGTCTCTGATGCCTGGCCCCAGTCCCACAGGAAGGGGGCGTATCCTAAAGGCCCAGTGAATTGGCTTTAACCGAGCAAGGGATACAAGGTCCCCCTGAGTCAGTGGCTCTGACACCATCTACAGGTGTCCACCGAGCCAGGAAATTCCTGGGTCCCTAACCGAGGTTGTAGGGATGAGCGCGGGCAGCTGTGGCACACCCACCTACCTGCCTGAGTGATCTTTCCAATCACGCACCTCCTGGGCTGGGGCCACAGAATGAGATTGACGGCAACAACATGTCAAAAAGGATGATCAGAATAGCAAGTATGAACAGAAAGCATGTGGAGGGGAGAGGTTACTGAGGGGGACAGGGGGAGCAAGAGTAACACATGTATGGAGTGTTTAATAGGATATTAGGACATTGTTTTTTATTTCATTTCTTGTGATGGGATATATATTTCTTTAAAGAAATATTATATAATATATATAAATAATTCTTGAAAGAAAAAAAATCCACCAGCTTCCTTATCCTTTTTGTTTTGTTTTTGTAAAGACACGAGACGTTTCACGCACGCAAGAACCCACATGGCCAAGGCAGCAGCCACAAGGTTCCCATTCCTGGCGACCACCGGGCCGATGGACGGAGGCATGTGAATCATGGCCTGGAGTCAGGATCTGGGGGAGGACAAGAGGGGGACGAGGATTCCTTATCTCTCAAAACTACTTAATAGTGGTCTGAGTAGCTTTTTTTTTAAAGTAAAAGTAAACTTGAAATGGACTTGTAGTCAGTCTTTAGTGACAAGTTCATCTCAAACAAAATTAAAAAAAGAAAGGAAATAAATTGGGGGGGGGGCAGAGAAAACAGGAATGAACAACGTGGGTTATTTGTATCAAGATAATGTGTATTACTGTGAATTGTCCAACAAAATCACGGCTCTACTAAGCCCTTAAACCAAGGGAAGTATTCTGGGAAGGTGACTGGTAATATTTCACCAGTATCACCTTTTGGGGGAAGACGGCTCCCCAAAAGTCCTTGTGGTTTAAGAAGAATCAGATGGTTTCAATGAACATCAAGGTGGAACTGCACTGGAAAACCCATGCATTTATTTCCCCAGAATCAATACCATTTTTAAAGCACAGTTGTACTCCAGTGTATCCGAAGCGAGTGTGGCCTGTAGTTTTCAATATGCATTCAGAATGACGACAGCAGGAAATGCGCCCGTCCTGGCAGTCCTGGCAGTCCTGGCAATCCACATTCCTGCTCTCAGGCTAACTGCTCTTAGACAGCCTGATCCTTAACTGGAGAGAAAGGAGAGGGTGACAGACAGGAAGAAAGGGCTTAGTCACTGGAACTTAGACTGACCTTGTGGTTAGCAGCTCCAAGTGCAACCCCTATGCCACCAAGGCTCCACTGGGGCAGTTCTGCCCTGTCCTGTAGGTTGCTATAGCCTTGCTATGAGTCAGAAGCGACTTGATGGCAATGAGTGTGGAGGAAAAAAAGAACTCAGGGAGACTTCCAATATTATAACTATCATCACTATGTCAAAAAGAACTAGTCAGTATTCAACCACTTCAGAGGTAGCATATTAATAAGAATTTATAGTAGTGAAGGAAGAAATCCAAGGTGCAGTGAAGGCATTAGCCAAAAACAAGGCCCCAGGGATTGATGGGATACCAAGTGAAATGCTTCAACAAGCTGATGAAGCCCTGGAAACACTCAACTACTATAAGCCAAGAAATTTGGAAGTCAGCTTCCAAGCCAACAGAACAGAATAGATTCTTATCTGTACCCATTCCAAAGAAAGGTGATTCCACAGCATGGGGAAATTATTGGACAATATCATTAATATCACATGCAAGTAAAACTGTGCTGACAATCATTAAACGACACGTGTAGCAGTAATTGACAGGGTGTTGTCAGAAATTCAAGAGGATTCAGAAGAGGCCATGGAAAAAGGGATATCATTACTGATATCAGATGGATTTTGGCTCAAAGCAGAGAATACCAGAAAATGTTTCCTTGTGGTTGATTCATTATGCAAAGACATTCAGCTGTGTGGATCATAAACAATATAGGTAGCTTTGAAAAGAACAAGAATTCCATGGCATTCCTTGATGCTCACCTTCCGGACACAATTGCTGAAGACAAATGGGTACATAAGCAAATGTAAAGAAAGCCGATGGTGCCCAGCTATCAAAAGATACAGCATACAGCGTCTAGGGTCTTAAAGGCTTTAAGGTAAACAAGCGGCCATCTAGCTAAGAAGCAACAACGCCCACATGGAAGAAGCACACCAGTCAGTATGATCACGAGGTGTTGAAGGTATCATGCATCAAAGAACAAAAAATCAAATCATTGTGAATGACGGGGAGTGCAAATTAGGGACCTACAACCCGTCTGTAAGCAACTGGACATGACCTTACAGAAGGGTTGTGGGGAGGAGATGAGCCAGTCAGGGTGCAGTGTAGCAACGATGAAACAGACAACTTTCCTCTAGTTCTTAAATGCTTCCTCTCCCCTGTGGGAAACCGAAGGATTTCTCTCAAGCTGTCTCCCCCAAATATATGCCAGACTTTGCTACTTGAGAATGACTATACACTTGGAGGTCATCAGGAGTAGATTAGGGGTCATTCTCCCTAAGAGCAATCAGCCATCTAGACCAAGCAGACACCACTGTTTATCCCACAAGTAGGGCCCACTCCCTTCTGATAAGGACAGTAGTTGTGTTTCCTTGTAGGAGACACCACAGAGGTCATACCCGCCCAAGGATGACCAAGGTTAGGCTGCCATCATGAATCTAGGGTCTGCCCATCTTATCACATGTATACCCCTAGACCTTCCCATTCCTATGGGCACACCCCTAGCTCATCCCCTTCCTGTTACGCTTATGCCTATCATACATCCCCTTCCTACAATGTGTATGCCTATTATACTGCCCCTTTCTGTGACGTATGTCTTCACCTGTAATTAGGGGGCTTGCACGTCCCCAGAGAGGATAAAAGCTGGGGAAGCATTAAAGTTTCTCTCTCTCCCTCCACATGGACCACCAAGCAGGGCTGAGGTGAGCAATGCTACCATGAAATGTGTCTGACTCCATTACTTGACTCCATCTTTTAACTCTCATGCTCTCTATGACTTTGTTATAATCTTTACTTATTATCACTGTACAATTGCGCCTACCGGACCTGTGATATTTTGTAGGAGACCCCTCTCCCCTTAACCCCACACTCCCCCACTATCATAATCCCAACTCTACCTTACAAATCCGGCTAGACCAAAGGATGTACACTGGTACAGATAGGAACTGGAAACACAGGGAATCCAGGACAGATGATCCCTCTAGGACCAGTGCTGAGAGTGGCGATACTGGGAGGGTAAAAGGAGGGTGTGGTGGAAAGAGGGAACTGATTACAGGGAATTATATGTGACCTCCCCCCTGGGGGACAGACAACAGAAAAGTGGGTGAAGGGAGACGTCGGACAGGGCAAGATATGACAAAATAATAATTTATAAATTATCAAGGGTTCATGAGGGAGGGGGGAGCGGGGAGGGAGGGGAAAAATGAGGACCTAATGCCGGGGCCTTAAGTGGAGAGGAAATGTTTTGAGAATGATGAGGGAAATGAATGCACAAATGCACTTTACAAAATTGATGTATGTATGGATTGTGATAAGAGTTGTATAAGCACCTAGTAAAATGATTTAAA